TCCTTCCTTCCTTCCTTCCTTCCTTCCTTCCTTCCTTCCTTCCTTCCATCCATCCTTTGCTGGATCTCTCTATCGTGCCCAGGCTGAAAGGGCAGTGGCCAATACTGTTTGACATGGAAGCTATGACTTGCTCTGTTTTTCAGTTGGAGCTGGTTTGCACCTCCTTCAGTAGACTGGTGGTCCTTCCCCGCTGGAAGCTCACCATATTGGTGCCAGACTTAGTTCAGAGACTTGATTGGCTTTAGCCCTAGTGTAACTCAGAACTCCTGAACTCGTGACCCATCAGCCTTAGCCTCCCCAGCAGCATGGACCACAGGTGTGCTCATTCTTTCTTTTGTAAACTTCTTTTTTTTCCTGTTAGTTATATTTCAAGAATCAGGCAAGAGACAAGATGAACATTGATGGAATAGGACCAATGAACTTGGGAAATTTAAAGGGGAAGGGAGGATATTCCAGTTTGGGACACACCAAGGTTGAGATGTCAGTGGGATTCCAATTTGTTCCAATGTAGTTTGCCAATCAACTTTTTAAATTACTCTGGTGGTCTCTCAGCTGAAAAAGAACTAGAAGAGTTTTGAGTCATTAACCCATAAATGAAAAGAAAGGTGGTAGCCTTTTAAAACTGTTTATTTCCAGGACGTAAAACTCACTAGAGCTGAGCTCAAGTCAGTGTGGTCAGGTCCTCATGAGGCAATGCAAAAAGAAAGAGTTATGTTGCTAACTGTAGCCAAGTAATGAATGTAAAGGCAGCTTTATTTTCCCCCCACCCCACCAAATTGCTCAGGTGATGGACACTAAAGGGGCTGAGGGAGTAAAGCCCACATGGCAGGAATAAAAGGCAGTTCACTGTGAAGCATTAACACAGATGGTTTCGTGTAATCCCTAGGCCGTTCTCCATTTTGTTATGCTACGTACCTTGGGGAAAGTACACTGATATATCTAAGGACATTAGGGTACTCTCTGAAGATGGAGATTTGGTAGTACAAGGGAACTTCAATCCTTGCTCTGACATGTAGCAACTGTGTAATCTTGGGTAAGTTCCTGAGCCTTAATTTTCTTATCTGTAAAACGGGGATGACAATGCTAGCACTAGAATTACCTATATCATAGGATTATTAGTTAAAAGAACAAACTAGTAACACTAGTTACATAGCATTCTAGGGATGGTAGCTATCATTTACATTATAATCTTGACTCTAGATGCAGCAGCGCCTTTTATGACAATTGGATTGGATATTTTACCTTTATGGACCTCATTTTTCACTTCTGTTGAGTCTGATGATGCCTAAAATCTCTTTCAACTCTCTCTCAGATTCTGTACTTCTCAGTTTAATCCATTATCCGACAAAACTAGTTTTGACACCTTTTTTCATGCAATAAGTTTGCAAGGAGGGGCAGAATGCTGTAAGAGATAGAGTACTAGCCTTGAAGTCAGAAGGAAGCACGTCCAAGCTTTGCCTGGGACGTAGAACAAATGTGTGTTCATGAGTGGGCAAGTGGCTCAAATACTCAATGCTTTGGGGAACTTTCTAAGAGCGTAAGTTATGGAGGATGTACCCCTAGGCATCAGTGGAAGGCGTTTCTATGAGAATGAAATCACACATCTGAACCCAAAATAAAAAGGCTTCATAAATAGACTATAGCAAAGAGATTACTAAAACAGATCTGTGGTAGGTAATTGGCTAAAAAGAAAACCACTAAAGGAACCTTAGTAGTGATTAGGAACAGATAGATTTAGCAACTCTGTGTGTGTGTGTGTGTGTGTGTGTGTGTGTGTGTGTGTGTGTGTATGTGTATGTGTGGGCGGGGGAGGAGGAGGGGAAGAAAGAGGAGACAGAGAAAGTAAATGAGAGAAACGGAAAGTCAACAACTACTTTGACACAGGACTTAAAAGGATTTTTAGGCCAATAAGCTTTTTTGCAGATCCTTTGTTAGCCTGGATATATATGGAGCACATACAAAAACTCCATGTCTCGCTGTTGTGGACACACAAGTAGAAATTTTGTTTTTCAGCACTGAAAATCCCAATGAAACTATGTGTCAATACATAGCTCCTAAGATCCCCTAGAATTCTCTTGAGTCCCACAAGACTCACTTCCCTGACATAGACTGTTCAGGTCATTGGTCTGGATGTATCAGGTTGAAAGGTCTTCTCAAATCCACATTCAGACCGGGAAGTTCAGACTGGGTGGAGGGGAGTGAAGACTACAAAGCTGTGTGCTTAGGGGTAGCAGTGGGCCAAGGACTGACGGCCTGATGAAGCAGGGAAACATCTTGAGAAGAGTAGGAAGTGTTAATGGATCCCAGCAAAATGAAAGTGTCCGGTGGTACTGCCCCTGAGGCCACAGGGGACAAAATGGCCTGATTTTCTTAAGAACCAGAGTTTGATATTTGTAAATCTCGGGGCCAACAGGTGTGACTAATTTCATGATTGTATTATCTTATGATTAAGGTGATTCATGTGTATTGAAATAACAGAAGCAAAGTGTTTTTAATAGTACAGATTCATGCAATCATGATAAGATCATTTAACTGCTGTTGAAAAAAAATAAGCATGTGTATGTGAAGATGCATTTCTTTGAATAGTCAATCAGTATTTATTGAGTGACTATACAGCAGAGAGAATTCTATTTAGACACATAAGAAATAGATGCTATGTTGCTTGTCTTTGGCCTAATTATTGCAATGCAGTGTCCCTGATAGAATGGAGACCCCTTGAGGGCAGAGACTGTTTCATTTTGTCACTGTTAGCCCAGCACCCAGTATAGTATATGACATATAGTGGGCATTTAATAAGTGTTTCTTGATTGACTGATACTTAAATGAAACAATTTGAATTCATTAACCAGCAATGTATTAGCAGGTGGGGAAAAAAAGAGTGGAAACTAAATGCATGTGTTTTTGGTTTGTTGAACCATGACTTAGCTGAACACACTGAGCAGATGCATATTTTAAAAAAGTGATGATCATGAGGTCATTAGTCCAGGAAGGAAAGTAAATCTGGGGCCAGATTTTGAAAGAGTGACATGAATTGATGGGTGGGGCCTGGAGGGAGTATTTTCAATGCAGAGGCATAAAGCTGTCCAGAAAGTTGAATTCTAGGATAGGTGAGATTAGCTTCACTCCTAGAATGTAAGGGCTATGGAGAGTTAAGATTTCCATTTTAGCCAAAGGTCTTCCATATTCACGGTAATTAGGGAGTTTTTCTCCAGTATTTACCCTATGATGTGAAACAAGGATTTCCCTGCAGATGAAGACCCTTCTATATTGAAAAGATGAAATTGGAGAGGTGTAGGAGACTGGTTAATGATGTGATTTGAGTTATAAAAAGTAAGCTGACCACTTTAGATTTAAAACATTAGGCAATGGATACCTACTATTGGTTGTGAAGTTGGAAAGCTACCTCATGATTGTCCTAAGAGTTTAGCATAGAATGGGGAGAGGCTTAACGCGGGAAGGGTCTGGATGTAGCGATGGAAATATGAAGTGGTAATGACTATGGAAGTGATAATGGGAGGAACAGATCTTTGAGACCTACAGGATGCAGATGAACATAAAGGACACGGGATTCAGTGATGAGTCAAAGATTACTAGGTGTAGATGTAGTCAAAGAAGAGAGGGTTGGACATTGAGTTAGAAAGACCTGAGTTTGAATCCTGCCTCAGAAACTAGCTTTGTGGTCCTAGCAATTCACTTAGCCTCTGTCTGCCTCAGTTTCCTCATCTGTGAAATGGAGATTATAATCGCATCTACCCTTTAAGATCATTGTTAGGATAAAATGAGTTAATATTTGCAAAGCATATTGCAAACCTATATAAATTAAAGCTCTATATAAATGCTAGCAATTATTGTTGTTGTAATTCCAAGGTTTTAAGGAAAAGGGGTGGGAGGATGATGGGGACCCTTAAAATAATAGGGGATCTAGAAAAGGAAGTTTGTTTGGGAGGAAGGGAAAGAGGCTCTATAAGTCATGGCCGCACACTTACGTCTCTTATCTCTTTCAATCAACTTTGAAAAAAATACTGATTGGAAAAGGAAGGTAATTCTTTACACTCTTTTCGGGATGTTACTCCTTTGATAAAAGCATGTGTATCTGTGTGTGGATAGAAAGATAGACAGACGGGCTAGTTCATTAAAAAGTCCAACATAGGTCTTGACCCTTTAGAACGACTATAAATGGAACCGTGGTTAAGCGTCTTGTTATGAATGTGACTTTCTATCTATGTTATAAATGAAAGCATATCTAGTATTGTGCGAAGGATAATGGATTAGCAGTCGGAGGGCCTGGGTCTGAATCCTTGCTTTGCTCCTTTCTCCGCATGTGATCTTGGACAAATCAACCTCGGCTCTCTCAATCTCAGCTCTCATCTGTGAGATGAGGAGGCTGGAGAAGTTGACCTCTAGTCCCTTCTCTCTTTTAACCTCTGATTCTATGATCTCAAATGGCCCTTCTATCTCTGACAGTCTATGATCCACTCACCTATGATTTTTTTAAGTTCTAAAGTCATCAAATCTAGTCACAGTTATTAAGCACTTGTATGCCTGGTACTGTGCTAAGCTCTGGGATTATAGAGAAAGGTAAGAAACAGTGGTTGGGTTCTCAAGGAGTCTTCATTCTAATAAGGGAGACCACATGTAAAACAATTAGTTACATGAAAGTTACATACAGAATAGACAGAAAACAGTATGAGAAGGAAAGGCATTAGCCGCTCGGTGGACTGGGCAAAGCCTGGTGGAGTAGGTGGTATTTAAGCTGTTTTGGAACTGGGCCAGCATTCTTTGAAGTCCAAGAAAGTCTTATTGTCTCAGCTGAAGGGTTCTTAATGAGCTCTTCAATTAACTACTTGGTTGATTCAGAACTCCACTTTACTCAAGATCAAAGGTGTCAAACTCAACTGCCAGAACCAGATGAAAATGTAATTGGGAAATGTTTAAAAAAATAAAGAAAATACAATACAACAAAGATAATGTTAATTTGTGGTTTTCTAACTCAATATGTAGCCACAGATCCATTTCTATTTTTGATATCAATACTCCAAACTGTTCAGGGGAAAAAAATCTATCCATATTCGCATCCAGTGAATTAACCTTTCAGGTTTTTTATACATTTCTCACCCAACAGAATGGGACCATGACATAAAATATTAATCTACTGAAATGTAAATATGACAATCACTTTTTAAAATTGATGTCATTTTTACAAATTCTAATGCAATGATACAATTATTTTTAAAGTATTGACTATGGGCAGGATGAGAGGCAATGTGATAGAGTAGATAGTGGGTTGGCCTGGGAAATAGGAAGTCCTATCTTTGTCCCATATTAGCTCTGTGACCATGAACATGATACTTCACAGTGCCCCAGGAAACTCTATAAGGGTATAAGTTGTGGATAAATTTGCCAGTTTGTTGTCATGAAGAACTTTTCCCCACCAGGAGTACACTCCACAAAGGTCACAACAATAACAACAACAAGGACAACGATGATAGTGATGGTGATGATGATGATGATGATGATGATGACAAAAAGATGCAAGGTACTGTGATACACTCTGAGTATGCAGGAAAATAATGATAGCCCCTGCTGTCAATCAGCTTATGGTCAAATAGGGTGATATGACGTGGAGAAGTAAGTGTAATGCAAACCACAATATAAAGGGGCAAAGAAAATGCTCTGGGAATATTTTAGGAGGAAAAGATTGCTTCCAACTGGGGAATCCAGGGTGACTTCATTGAAGAGGTGTCAGCCAAGCTGGGCCCTAAAGAAATGTCAGGCTGTTAAGAGGTGGAGATGAGGAAGCCAGGCAGGAGGGATGGTCTGTGGGAATGCAAGGTAGTAGGACAGGGCTGCCAGAGGTTCAGGAATATTCAATAACCCAGTGTGGCTTATGGTGCATGAAAGAGGAAATGTCAAATAAGATTGGGGAGCTATGGAGAGCCTTAATACCCCTACTAAGGGGTTCGTAGCTTATCCTACAGTCAATTGGGAGTCACTGAAGCCTGCTTCCTTTTCCCATGCTTATGCAAACCCTGGCCTTGGCTCTCTCTTTTGTGTGAGAGAGCCAGCTTCAAAGAGCTAAGACCAGAGGAGGAAGCACTGTATTTAATATGTGTGAGGAACCTAAAGGCTGTAATGAGTATAATGTGAGGTGTTTTGCAGGTAAAGTTACACTTTTTAAAATTAATTAATTTGCTTAATGCTCCCACTGGGAATTGAAGCATACGATGAACCAGACTTTACTCTAAGTTACCTCACAAAGCCTCCTCACTGCTGCACCCTAATAAAAGGTTAAGCAAATGATTAGAGTGGGGACCTATTCCTGTTCCCAAAGGAAATAGCGTTTCCCACTATTCCTACACTATCCAAAAGGCTATTTTAATAGCTTGGGTAAACAGAGGTCTAGTGTTTCTCCCACCAGAATAGAAGCTACCATAGCATGGAGGTGGCTTTCTGAGGACCAGACATTCTTGAATATAGTAGCTAGGAACAAGAGAGAGGTGGGGGGTAGGGGCTGGTGCAGGCCCTTTAGGAGGGACAGAACCTCTATGAATTCAAGGTGGGAAGGGGCTAATCCTGTTTTCAAAGGGGACTTTTTGGCTGCTCAAAGGATTAAAGAACCAGTTTCTGAGAATGGTTTAACTCTTTTATTTTCTTTAAAGAAAGAGAAAAGTAAAAAGAAATGCTTTTTAAATACAGTTTTGCCAAAACACATTCACTTGGCTGGTCACAGCATTTGAATAACATTGTCTTGATCTGTTCCCTCGCCGGATGTGTGTGTGTGTGTGTGTGTGTGTGTGTGTGTGTGTGTTCTCTCAATCTTTTGCTTCACTTTCATAAAATATTAAAACCAACTCTTGTTAAACGGGAAAAAAGACACAGACTAAGGTCTGTCATTATTCTTTGTTCACTTACCTCTCTTGAAAATTTCATAGCGTATGGAAAATCCAGCACCATGTGTCTCGTAGTCAGAGACAAACTTGATAAACAGGAATGGCCCTGAAGACACCACTGGGGGAGGAGCTATCTTGCCACAGAACTTTCCCCATAAACGTCCACTTGCGCTATCTCCATCAATGACTTCAACATAATCATACCTAATGGACAAGCACAAAGGGAAAACATTAAGTGAAATAAGAAATGTTTCGTTTCTACAATTTCTGAGCTTGACATGAGCCAGCATAGATTGGTGGGGGCTGGGGATCGGTGGGGATGCTCCCCACATCCATGACTCTACCACACAGTGAAATCCAGCAAAATGAAATAATTAAAATGGACTACATCATGTCTGTAGACATCATCTGGCAATGCAGAACTATTAGGAAGAATGGTGTCCATTATACTGGCAGACAATGTCAGCTAAAGTAACCAATTAACAAGAAAAAGGAAATCTCATGAGCACAATTCTGTATTATTAAATTGTGTTTCTTTGTCTGTGGTAGTGGTGTCAATACATAATGCTGTGCATTCTTTTCAAACTGTGAAGTTCTTTTATGAATTCAAAATGTCCCTGGCTAGAGCTCTCTATGAACAATACTTTGATTTCTGTGAACTAGCCTCTAAAACATATGGCCACAGAATAATAAATGAATTCTTACTCATTTAACTCAGTTCACAGTTCCACCACATTCCAGACTACTCAGAAAAAAACAAAAAACAAACCAACCTGTCAATATCTACATTCACAGATTACCTTCTTGAAAATCAGACTTGGATCATAGAAGTTACATTTTCTCCCAACTTTTGTTTTAAAAAAGAGAAAGAAATAGAATTTATCTTGTAACATTCAACTTGATTTGCTTGAAAGAATATACTTATTTGAAAGAAGGGAATGAAAAATGCCCAGTGATGAGATTTAAAATAGGGTTAGTAATAGTATTCTGGTGATGTGATTAAAGAAATAACAGCGAAATTCTACCACAAAGTTTATATTGAAAGGACAGAACATTTCTTAGCCCTATAAGCAGATAACTCACCCTTAATAAACTAGTCCTTTCCTCATCCTCAACCCCCACTCCAAGATAATATGAAGGGAATGAGGCAAAAAGATTCATTTGTCTGGTTATATCTATATCTATACACATATATTTGCTTCTCTCTCTTATCTTAAAGATATTTATTGCCATGTAGAAGTCAATCTAATTTGTGTTGTTTTTCTTCTAGAATTGGCATTAAAATGTTATTATCCATTTGTTTTAGAGCTTTATTTTACTTCTATGTTTAACTTGTTTCAAAAATTATGGTGTATTTTAATTTCAGGAACAGTTTAAAATGGCAGTAACAAACTATATCTGGCAATTTTTAAGGGATCAAAGGGTAAAAAAAATAATTCTTCGTGATGACCAATGTCATCTTTAACGACTCTTTTTTAAGCTATCTTGGGCACATTACTTATGTTTACATAAAGTCTCATGAGACAATTGCAAAGATGATATCACTAGTTAAAGTGGACAGCTTAAGGCCCTTTAAATTAAAAATGACATTACCTCATCAGTAAAAATTGCATGCCAGCTTTGCTGTATATCAGGGAGAAAATAAAGCTGACATTGATGGAACTCTAAGCATTAACATATGTGAATTACTGCATTAACTGCATTTCCTCTGGCGCATCCAATGTTTCCAGTGACTTGGCCGGTTAGCATTGCTGTCCCATTTCAAAGCTGGAGAATGAGGAATTGTTGTTCATTTCTCAATATTTTGGGCTTGCTTTGCTTGTTAAAAGAAGAGGAAGAAGTGTAAGAGGAGGAGGAAGAAAGCATTATATTTCAAAGTTCTGAACCAACCTTTTACATTCAAAGAGAGGGCAGCTGAAATGAGCACCATCTCCTCCTATTCATTCCAGTCAAATAAATTGGCATTTGATGGAGAACTCCCTTTTATCTCTGTTTCCCCTTTGACAGGACAGGTCTGTTTGTTTTGCTCCACAGTTTCTTATAATTTAGCTGTGATTTGGCCTGTTTACTGTCTGCACTAGCTGCTGTGTATCTAGGCTTTGTCATATAGGCTTTTGGCTTGAATCTTGATGTGATCTGAATATTAAGCGGTTGAGTCTTGGTGCATTTTGCCTTTGAGACAGAAACCAAGTGAGATGGGGCAGCATTCTGAAGAACCAAAGACATTTTGGAAGGAAGTCTTTTCTTTCAGGTAAAATAATATCTTCTATTTCAAAAGCCCAGTTGTGGTACTGGAGATTTTAAAGAGATAGAGCTTAAATTGACATGGCAGCTAATAGTCACCACCAGGCTCTCCACTTGGCAACACCAAAAGTCATTAAAGTGAATAGCGAGAAATTAGGCTTCCTCCACAGTAAGAGATGAGTCTTGTGGCATTTTCAAGTACTACAACTTCACATGCAGAAATTAAATTATTGGAATATGAGTGATGTCTCATCCTTGGAAAATGGAAATGCAACTGTCATTCTAGCAATGCTCCTTCAAAGTACCATGAAACAGAGACCAGAGAAGAGTTTCACCAATAACAGTTTTCGTAAATAGTCGGGCAAGTGTACCATCACAACTTGTCAATTACATCATTGCCAGTGAAGTTAAGAAAGCAGGCTCGCATCTCCCTCTGGAGTTGATACCGGCTCTACTCCATAAGTTTGTCAGTGACAAATGCAGTGCCAGGAATGTAAGTGTTGTGCCAGCAACCTTCTCTGGAGACAAAATGTGTCACTGCAGCAACGCACCCAGGCTGCCTTGGCCTCGGGCCCAGGATACTGAGTTTGCAAATTTGGATCTCCCAGCCGGCCTGCATTGCTCGGTTACTGCTACCAGTGTATGACAAACACTGCTTTTCTTGGGATGACAAGAATATAGTGGGAACGGAGAAGGTAGAAATGGAATCACTTGTCTGAACCTCAGTCTAACCTCACTGTCCTAGGTGTGCTATGTGTTTCTGCTATCTTTTTAATGGAGAGCAGTTCTTTGTAAATGAATGCAAGTTCTATAATCCAGATGATACAGATGAGTTACCAATCAACATTGATGAAGTTTTCAGAGCAAGACACTTTCAACCTCCACCAATGAAATCAAAAGAAAATAACACAAAAAGAAAAGCATAAGGTACTATGGTAGGTTCTAGGGATTTAAAAAACAGATCTTCTAAAATCCTAAATTATCCGGCGTGGTGGTCCCTGCCTTCCAGCAGCTTTCATTTTCACCTGGGGAATCAAGGGAGACTTCATTGAAGAGATGCCGGATAATTTAGGATTGTAGAAGATCTGAAAAATCTGGCTAATGGAAGCAGTAGCAGGCCACAAAGCAGACTTAACTTCATTTGGAGCACAGAGTGTTAAATGTATACTGACTTTCTTAGAGAGAAAGATTCAATCACTGATATCTGGACAGTGCATCTAGCACATTATTGACCATAGCATTCCTCAAATAGCTTGGAAGCTGTGTCCTTTGGTCTTGATTGGATTTGGGGCAAACGGAAAGACAGCATTACAGGTGTCTGGGTGCACCCTTAAATGTCCCATGCTGAGCATAAACAGAATTCAAAGATAATTAGTATTTTTAGATAAGTTTTTATCCTCACTTATATTTTGTTTTTGTAATAGATTTTGTATAAGAGTTTGGCCTAACTATATACACAGAAAAAAATCAGACCAGATGAAGAATGCCTATTCAGATTATGATATGCAATTAGATGGACAACCTATAGAGTTCATCTTTATATATCTATTTCTAGATCTATTGTTCAGTTGTTTTCAATTATGTCTGACTCTTTGTGACCCCATTGGGGGTTTTCTGGACAAAGATACTGGAGTGGTTTGCCATTTCCTTCTCTGGTTCATTTTGCAGATAAGGAAACTGAGGCAAATGGGGTTAAATGACTTGCCCAGGCTCACATAGTAAGTGGTAGAGGTGAGAATTGAGCTTAGGAAGACTAGTATTCCTGACTTTAGGCCTGGAACTTTACCCGCTGTACCATCTAGCTGCCTAGATCTATGTCCATATCAATATATGTGATCCAATATATACGATATCTACATATCAATAGATATCAAATATATATGTATATAACATCTAGACATTGCAAATTGACATGTTGGGTCCAGAATTCAACAAGAGAGGAGCAGGATGGATTGCCTTTTGGAAACTGCAAAGTACCTATACAGATTCCAAACTTCTCCCTGACACAGTCCCATTAAAAAAACAAAAAACGAAAACCCTGACCTACCACTGTTATTGTATACCTGTGAGTCACTGGAAACTGTAGTCTCCAGAGATCTAAAAGTAAGTATTACTGAGCGAACTTGTTTGTCGTTGTTGTTCGTCCTTCGTTCTCGAAAAGGACCGCTCACAGCAGCAGGATAATGGAGAGGCACATGGTGGATATGAGCAGGCCTACTCATTCATATCAAATAAGGAGATAAGTGTAAAGGATTCACCAAAATATGTATTATCAAAAAAGAAGAGGGACTGGTAATGTGGTGAGAGGGGAAAGTAAATGATAGGAAGCCCAAGCCTTCCCAATATTGGGGGAAAAAAGGGAGGAAGGTCTATAACATGGTAGGCGAATCCCTCTGGTGTACTTACGTGAGGAAATGGACAAGAGTAGTACCGGATGTTGAGTAATGAATGGGCTGTAATCTTCATTGATGGAAAAAATGTACAAATCAATGAGGTCACAGATCCAATTGAGTATGTTTGTATTTTAAAAGCTTCCCCTCTTTACTGACTCTTCTAACAGATGTCAGTGGAAAAACAACAACAACAACAACACATTTCCTTCCTCGGCTGCTCAGAAGGAATGTCAAGCATTCTGTTTTCTGATTCAAAATTGTACTATACTACCCTCCTTTCTCAGCTTTGAGTGTATAGACACTTTAGTGTCCTCATTTCCAAATAATCTAAGTATTCTCTCACTTTAGAACGTAAAGGAGATGGACCATGTCCTTTTTTCTCGGGACGCCACCAGATGTCTCACTGCCAAGCCAGGTATACCTCAAATTTTAAATAATAATAGGTTTCCCATAAGGGTGATAAAAGAAAACAGAATCCTCTTAGAATTCTTGAAAGGATTACTAAGAGACCATTTCTTCTTTTGGAAGGTTTATGAGTTATGGATTTAGGAAAAAAGCCAAGTAAAA